TTCCTTTTCCTTTCACTTTATTCATCACTGACTCTTTTTCGCAGACAGATCTGTGACTGTAATTCTGACAGAGTGACTTAGACATAAATGTTCATCTTTATTACAGTTCAAAATAACAGTGCACTTTTTGATGACATTTCTGTTTAAATACCGGTACATTAGAATATTTTAGCAATATCTGAAAATAGTTCAATATTCATTTCAAATCAAACCCTACATACCTCTAACATACTTAACAGTACAGTAATAAGGTTCCTTACTTTAAATACAAGGTACCTACATTGTGCAAGTGAGTACAAAGTCCCAAGAACTCAATCTGCAGAAAAACTGGTCTTTAGTATATCACAGCATTATTTAAATGCCTTCTACACTTATATCCGCATATGCCTTTGTCCTAAAGTTTTTTTTCTCGATAACTCATAATATGCAATAAAATACAACTGCAAAACACAAGAATTGTTTTTGATTCTAACAAAATTAAAATGCACATGGTTGATGAAATCTGCTAAACTGCGATGAAATTCATCACCATGCATTGCTGTTGTGACCTTATTTTCATCTAGAATTACTTGTTTTATTGTAGAGGGTCAAGTGAAGAGTTGACCCTCTAAACTCCATGGCTTCCTGACTCAGAACAGAAATACAAATCATTCATCTTAGGTTGTTTTTTGAGGTCAGTTGTTAGATTTTTAAAATTACATTTTGTAAGGATAGATGGGAGTCAAGGCAGGCAGCGTATATCCTAACTGGGGGCTCCACAGAGGAATGGAGTAGGGATAAGGGTAAGAAGTGGACCCAATGATGGCAGATTGAGGTGAGCCATGACGGTACATGAGCTGAGAAGGAGGTAGTCTCATCCTGTTGCAGAGGTACGTAGGATTAAACAGAGGCTGGTGTCGAGAGTCTCCACCTGATCTCTCATAGCTTGACAGAGCACTCGAACCGGTTACACTGGAGGCAGAATGGGATGCACTGTGCTGGGTTAAGGAAACTTTTTGTTGCATTGTTCTGGGTTTTTCCCTTTTGTCTGTGTGATATATCCAAGGACCCGTGTGGCTCTGCTTTTTGGCAGACGTCAGAGAGTCACCCTGCTGCATCGACCGGGGAAATTTACAAGCTGGCCGGACAGGAGCCGGCCGAAGGAGCTGCACAGAACTTGGAATCACTTTGGTAAAACTAGACGCAGATGTTGGCCAGTCAGAGATCACACTGTAGGGGGACTGTGGTTGAAATGGACGGCTGAGATATTTTCTGCTTTCTTTCCGGACCGGTCTCCATGCTGACTCTTGACCCTGGACTTGGATCAAGTCTGTTGACTGTGCACAGACTCGAGGACTGTCTTTTCTCTGTTCTACAGGATCCTTGGATACCTGGGTGCAGCTCGCAGACTTTCTGTCCTCACTGCTGCTGCTGGATGTACTTTTTACTGAGCTGGGACTGTTTTGGAGCAGTTCAGTTGCAGGTTTACTGTCACCCCCTTCAGGACCATCCTCTGATGACACCGAGTAAGGGGAAGGGCTGCGGGAAGAGGAGGAGGATAGAGGGAGAGGGGAGCTATCGGAGGAGGAGGTACAGTTGTGGTTGGAAGAAGCCCGAGATGGAGACTGAGAGCAGTGAATGACAGACGGCCTTTCTTTGTCCTCGCTCAGGGAACTTAGAGAGATGTTGAGACTCGCCTGAGCCATCCGCTTTTTTTTCTCCAGAGGGGAAATAACTTCTCCGACAACAGATGGGACGTTAGCTCCCTGCTGTGACCAGGGACTGCATGTGGGGACTGGGGCAAGGTGAGTGTAGATGGTAGTGTTGTGGGCTCTTTTTGGCTGAGAGCCGTCTGGAAGGTGTTGACTGGAGTTCCAGAGTGTGCAGCGAGAATGAATGACTACCTCACTTTGACAGGAAATTTCTGGACTTTGTGGGGTGTTCATCTAAAAAAAAAAATCACATTAACTTAACATGCATACCAAACTCACTGCTTGTTTTTTGTAAGATATTATAAATTGACAGTATAGGCAGTATGATACCTCAGAATCCACGTCAATTTCCAGCTGAGACCTTTTCCTCCTCTTCTCAGTTTTTGCGAGCTTACTGTCTGAACTTCTTTTGTACGGTTTCCGTGGTTTGCTCAGAGGCAAAGGTTTATCCTCCTCACCTTTTATGTGTCTTTCAAAGGGAAGCACTAGCCTGGAGAAATACATATTTGATCATAAGTCTGTTTATCAAGTTTTTAAAATAGAAGATGCATTAAAAACAGAATAATCCTCACTTTTCATAATGTCTGCGTGTACAGGTAGCAGCACTAGTACTACCTGGACTTCCTCCAAGCTCATCGTACACTTTCTTCCAAAGGCGCCTCGATGTCACCTGTTGGAAACACAGTAGCTGGGATTAGAGTCAGAGAAGGACTACTTACTAAAGATAAAGATAAGTAAGAATAAACTTTCCTGAACACTGAGTTAGAAACACTGAACTTTAACTACTTGTAATAAAACTCCTGTATGACGTGACCCAGAGTCTGTGAGCGGCTTTGAAAATGTTGGAGTGAATTGAAGACCTGGTGTGTCACAAACACTGAAGGGTACTTTTCCCGTCAATAAAGTCTGCATGCTAATTCCAGAAAAATGAGTCCCAAAATTTTCTGAACTTGTCTGTCACATGAAGCACACAGCAGGGGATTGTGGGTGACTGTAAGTTTTACACTTCAAGCGAGGAAGTGGAAACCTGTCCAAAGTGCAGGTCAGCAGAGCGCATGTTAGCCCACCTATTTTGGTTTTGTCCCAAACACAATAAATTCTGGTGTACTCAGTCACAGCAGATCCACGCACAGCTGTTATTGGTAACACCTGAAATTACATAGCTTTATCTGCCTGACAATGCATGATTGTAAAATGCGGCGTGTTTGTTGCAAAGAGGAACATTTTAGTCGTTTGCTTCAGAGATATTGTGTCTTCTTTAAAAACCTGCTTATCAGAAATAACCAAAAAAGTACAAATGGAAAGAGTTCAATACAGAATCTCTTTTCACTCTCTAACCTTTGACAGCATGTGGCAGCCATGTTTGTTATGTTTTTCAAGCACAACCTTAAATGTTTGCCTCTTACCTAATGTATACAAGAGATGTAGACACCTAACATACCAGCAAGCATTCCAATCACACTTATGAACATTATTGGAAATATTTCATTTTCTATCCAACTGTCTGGGCAGACTGTACACAGTAAAACTTCGAATTTGATGCCTGATCTGGAGACGTGCTCCAAAGTCTCCCCCCTGAAGTTTGAACGACGTGAAGAGAAAAAATTAAAGAGGAAAAGAATCAGTGGTAGCTGCAGGAAAATAAACTTGTTTCATCTCTCTGCTGTGGTCTGTGTGACTTTGGTTTGAGGTAAATATTCTGATGTTTTCATTTAAATTTTTTAAGGTTCAGTAAACGGGAAATAGACTGTGGAAGTTCTCATTCTAACCACTCACTTCAGCAGCTGCAGTTTTCTCTTCTAAAGACACTGTCCTCGATAAAAACCTGATTTCATCCCTGGGTCAGTTTCTTTAAAAAAGTTATGATAAACCAAACAAAAGTCTGATACAAGCAAAACATGGAAATCACCCTTAAACCTCAAAGACCTGCAAAAATTGTTATTTCCACCAGGGGGCGTACTGTTCTGTTAATAATCCCCTCTTACATATTCAGAGATTTTTAGATAATTCCAGGAAAAAGGACGAAGCTCTTCGTGTAAGAATAGTTCATGAAAGCAATACCTTTTAAAATCGTCATCTCGTTTAATCTGCAATATTTTAACTAAATATTATATATAGAGTTATATATATAGTTTATATTTTAACTAAATATTATATATAGAGTTATATATATAGTTTATATTTTAACTAGATATTATATATGTAGTTATATATATAGTTTATATTTTAATTAAATATTATATATATAGTTATATATATAGTTTATATTTTAATTAAATATTATATATATAGTTATATATATAGTTTATATTTTAATTAAATATTATATATATAGTTATATATATAGTTTATATTTTAACTAAATATTATATATAGAGTTATATATATATAGTTTATATATTATGTTGTTGTTTCCTGTTGTCTGGTTTCCCCACAAAGGTTCAGGGTGGAGAATAGAGCAGCATTCACCCAGACAGACGCGGTAGGAGTGGGGCAGGATACTTGTTTATATGTTTTAAATAGTGTGTAATTTCATGAATATATATATTTTTGACTTAGTGTGAGTCTTTTGTGGGTCGCTGTTGGAAATTAGTAGATAAAGAAGATCAGAAATAAGATAAACCTTCATTCACGTCAGAGTGAGGGACAGAAGAGGAGAGGGGCTGCTGCTGCTGCTGCTGCTGCGCACATATTTGTACCTTAAATAAAATAATGTTTTTAACGATAACTTTGAGTCAAATGGAGGGTCATGTTTCTTATACATCACAGGAGCATCTCAAACACAGATGAAGTCTCTCAGCTTTCTCTCACTGTAAATATCAGAGACAGCAGATATGAACGCCAATGAAACTCTTAAACTTACCGAATCATATCCCCCGAGTTTCTCCACAGCTTTAAAGATCCTCCAAAGGTTAACTGACAGTAAAAAACAAAATATTTCATCCAAAGAATAGGTGTTTAAAGTTGATGTAACTATCAAGGCTAAGTCATAATCACTCACTCTGCTTAAAGCCCAGATGAGGGATCCTCTCTATCGGTGTGGCTCTGTCCTTCATGAAAGTGTGGAGACTTGTGACAAAAGCTTTCTCCTCCATGTGCAGCAAACTGGGCCTCACTTCTTCCTCACATTCAGTCAGTGAGTCATTAATCTCAATAATGGAGGGGGAAACCTGCCAGAGACACACGCCGGTTCTTTACTTCAACCGTCATTCAACCAGGAAGCTTCTTTAAGACTGAAAAACACTTTTGCAATGAGACCTGGTCAAATATCAGAAACAGGAGAGTCAGCAGCCCCGACACATCCGTCCAAAGACACCCTGAGTCCATCTGAGCTCTTTCTGAAGGTTATTCTGTGTCTGAGGAGTTCTTTAGAAAAGCTCAGAGCTCAGGGCTCAGCGAAGAGCTCTAGGTTGGAGGTTGGTAACTGGTTCCCAGTTCCCAGAGGATGGTACAGTGGTAAGATGGAAGCTTTCCCAGTTTGGCTTTTATGATAATAACATACTCGTATTGTTCCCGTTCTCATTATAAATGAAGTCTGCTCTGGTTTTTGTTCTCGGCACTGAAAGCTGAGCATCACTTTGAGCTTTTCAATTACATTTGTAAAACATACGTTAAACGGGTGTATTGTCAATCCAAATACTAATGGGAGGTCACATGTTTAATTCATTTACTTCAAAATCCAGACAATCCCATAAATGTGACGCAGTCCTTGTAAAACCATGTTTACAGTTTGAAGCGATTTAAGAAGAACCAATACAGAATCATCTTCTGGAATGCAAATGCTGAAATGAAATGTCAAAATCGGAGAGTCGGGTTTCACCGCTACTTTCAATAGGTAACCACGAAACATCCGGTCTGGAGAGAAAGCAGCAGACTTGTGGGGTTTTTGGTTGAGCGTTGTCTGGTATCACAAAAGTCCCTTTAAGAAACAAACACTGAAAGAACAGGTGTGTCCGAGTGTTTTAGTTTGAGTTTTTGAGCTCTCAAACTGTTTTGTAATATTTCATGGAATAACTGTCAGAATATGTGTTTCTAACTCTGTCTGACGGTAAGTGTTAAAGCCGAGTAAAACAAGAACTGTCACAGTTTGTGGTTTGAGAAAAAGAGAAATGAAACGTAAAGACGTGAGGGATTAAACCACCAGAAGGACAAGTCAATGCAACATCCATCAATTTATAAACACCTTCAATAAGTCAATGGGGACGAAAATCGATGTATTATGACTTTGGATATTTTATAATACCTTTAAATAAAACTCTCATCCTCGATATTTGCATGTCTCCATGGTAACAGATATTTTTTCCTGCCAGGTGAACATGATGATATCTGAACTCCTGATATCGCAGTGAAATCAGAGATGACTGAACCTCAGAGCAAAAATTCTACGTGAAATTTCTCATCTTTGCTGTTTCCATCAACTTTGAGAGCTTCATGAGGACCACAGCAAAGAATTTCAATATTTCAGAGTTTGAATCAGCACGCACAGACAGGCAGTCATTGTACAACATAACGGCTCAGGGTGGTTTCATATTGAATCGAGTTCCTCTATGTGGTTCCGGGTTCCGAGAAGTTGGCCTCCAGAGTGAGTAATAGTGAAGGTGCAGACCTCTAACCGAGATAACCCCGACTGAGTCACGGTATAGCAGCTCCACACTGATCAAATGTTCCCAGATAAAACAGCCACAGACTTTCCACTTGTGTTCTGGACCTTCTATGTTTGGATTTTAAAAAGGGGATGTCAAAAATGATGTTTTTAGCCGTTTGAATCCAACCTCAGACTTTATACTTGCTCACAATTAAAGCATGAAATAATGAGAAGATGGCAAATGAAGGAGAACTTATAGTTTTGTATAAAATTCCCTGATATTTATGAAGGATTGTTCAATTTTCTGATGTGATTCATAAACTTTCAGGTCATTGCATCGGTGGTTAGCAACAGGAAACGTCTGCTCTCTCCGCCTCACACTGTTGGGGTTAAGGTTGTTTTTGTTGATCTCATTCAACAGCAGGGACTGAATATTACTGTGAAACGTTTAGCTGATTTCCACTAGGTGAAATTTTTTGGAAACCTGTGTGGGTGATGCTGATGTCAAAGTGTTGAATTGTGACTCTCACAATGAATCTGAGTGTCGTGTTGGATTGATGCAATCGTCAGGTCAGGACTCACCACAGAAACCGCTCTGCTTTCAGCTGGAAATTTGATGAGCTAATCTGAGTTTCTCATATTGTGCCTCTTATTCTAGTTACCAGAACAGAGTCTGTGAAGGCCTCCTGTACTTTCTGTTTGGGTAATGAAATATTGTGGCGTGTTCAAAGTATTCAGATGTGCGTGTATTGCACTGACCTCCGGGAATACGAAGCAGAATCAGTTTTTCTGTGTTACTCATTTCAACATCCGTCATCAAGATGAAACAACTGTACAACACAATCAGCACTTCAAAAAATTCAGCAGTCTCAAATTCACAAAAAAAGGGAAATGAAAATGCAGCTCAGAGCAGCCGGAGGAGTCATGTCTGAAGTCATAAATAAACTGATGGAAACTGCAAAGACTCAAAGGGATATTTCTGCAGTTAGAGCTGAGGGGAATACCTGCTTTTCTGTCCTCCGCTCTTCATCACTGACTGCTGTTTGCTCGGAAATCTCACTCTGGTCCTCTGGAGCTGCAAATTCAGCAGGTTTAACAAGTTACAACTAAAGCAGAGTGAAGATGAATTCTGAGAACTACAGCCAAACAACAGAGCGCTTCCCCATTCAGAGAAACACGGGAAAACTCTTCTGATCAAGACCTCGTCTGTGAATAAATACAACAGCTGATCTGGGTAATACATGAAATGTCAGATAATCGATCAAGAGGACACACACACGCAAACAGGGTAACAAGACTAAATCTGAGGGACATATTGTCAACGGAGTCTGATATAAAACCACAGGCTGCTAAACCACTTCCTCCTCAAGAATAAACCGCCTGTATGCTGCAGAGCGAGATATCGTAACACATGAACTACAGGAGTCTGACGTTCTGCAGCAAAGACTCGTAAACTTGGAAATTATTTTTCCTTTTAGAGGTGGGACAGAGTAAAACAAACTGTGGGTAATATTTTTAATGTTCATTTTACTGAACATATTTTTTACTGTTTCTGACACATTTCTCAGTATTGGGTGACAAATTTAGAAACATGAAGCAAAAGAGTCGACCACGAAAACAAAGGCAGGAGTTCTGGGTAAGAAATGTGACTCTGAGGATGAAATTTTGTTCAGACTGTCAGCAGAAGACCTGTCTTCAGTAAAGCGCCCACAGTGACATTATTTGTGTGAGAAACCAACGAGCTTCTCTTTTACAGATCACTCGTTTCCTGAGCTGTGGCTTGAACCTTTGATTCTGCTTTTAGAAACTTCTGCATTTCACCAGCTAAAGACGCGCTATTCCGTCACATCAACCAGGGACCTCGAGCTAAAGTCGGAATTTTATTGGCCAGTTTCTTCAAACGTTCAACTGTATTGTTTTTGTACATCACAGTACAAAAGATTGTTTTCCTGGAATTTATGATTATTTACTGAGTTGTTGTGATCAAATAATTAAAATTAACGTTTTATTTTTCAGTACATTTTTTTCAGTTTTCCTTTTTTTGCACCTGAGCAGAGTTTGGTGTAATATGTTGGATTATTCAAAGTGCTAATAACAGTCAGATTTCATCAAATTATTGCTTCACTGTCTTAAACCTGCAGCGCAGAAAGAAACGTGTTTTTGAATCAGAATTCAAAAGTTAAAGTTATTATTCTCACCCATGTCCAGAAGCTGTCCTTCAGTCTCCGCTGTCACAGTTTTCTGACACCAGTTCATGCGGCGTCTCTTCAGTTTCACACCACCAAACAGGAAGTCCTCTCCACAGAGCAGTTTCATTGGTGGACCAATCTCTCTGCAGCAAATGAGTCTGGGAAACTGAGTGTGTTTTTTTATTCGGTCCCACATTTGACTTTCTCTGTTTCACCTTCATCTCAAACACCAACACCTGTCCACTTATTCTTCACAGCAGTAATATTTCTCAAATCAGTTACAAAAGAAGTCCTCAGCAAAACCCTGACCTGATATTGTATAAAATACCAAAAGCTAACGTGAAATTAAATAACATTTTTATAACTGTGAGGACATGAAGAATAAAGCCTGGTGTAAAATTAAGTTCAGTTTAAAGTCTGGTGTTAACGTCTCGTTTCATTGTGGTTTAGATTAACATTTAAAAAAGAGCAGAGTCTCTTTTATTATGAAAAGTAAAATTCAGATAAATTCTGGTTCAAGTAGAATTTAACACAAAGAGAAGAAGTCATAACTGATATCAAAGTTTTAATCAGATTAAAGTCTGTGTAAATAATAAATTCAAAAGATTAAAGTCAGGTTTACTGCAGAGTTTGAATCTGATTAAAGTCAGGTTTACTGCAGAGTTTGAATCTGATTAAAGTCAGGTTTACTGTAGAGTTTTAATCAGATTAAAGTCAGGTTTACTGTAGAGTTTAAATCTGATTAAAGTCAGGTTTACTGCAGAGTTTGAATCTGATTAAAGTCAGGTTTACTGTAGAGTTTAAATCAGATTAAAGTCAGGTTTACTGCAGAGTTTTAATCTGATTAAAGTCAGGTTTACTGCAGAGTTTGAATCTGATTAAAGTCAGGTTTACTGTAGAGTTTAAATCAGATTAAAGTCAGGTTTACTGCAGAGTTCAAATCAGATTAAAGTCAGGTTTACTGCAGAGTTTTAATCAGATTAAAGTCAGGTTTACTGCAGTTTAAATCAGATTAAAGTCAGGTTTACTGCAGTTTAAATCAGATTAAAGTCAGGTTTACTGCAGATTTTTAATCAGATTAAAGTCAGGTTTACTGCAGAGTTTTAATCAGATTAAAGTCAGGTTTACTGCAGAGTTTTAATCTGATTAAAGTCAGGTTTACTGCAGAGTTTAAATCAGATTAAAGTCAGGTTTACTGCAGAGTTCAAATCAGATTAAAGTCAGGTTTACTGCAGAGTTTAAATCAGATTAAAGTCAGGTTTACTGCAGAGTTTTAATCAGATTAAAGTCAGGTTTTATGCAGTTTAAATCAGATTAAAGTCAGGTTTACTGCAGTTTAAATCAGATTAAATTCAGGTTTACTGTAGAGTTTAAATCAGATTAAAGTCAGGTTTACTGCAGAGTTTAAATCAGATTAAAGTCAGGTTTACTGCAGAGTTCAAATCAGATTAAAGTCAGGTTTACTGCAGAGTTTAAATCAGATTAAAGTCAGGTTTACTGCAGAGTTCAAATCAGATATTACCTATTAAAGTTTTAAAATGATTAGAACCAAATGTGAATTTCCTACAGGTTGGAGTGGTGTTGATATCAAGCTTTACAAAGACTTGATTTATTTTTATACTTTATGAGATATAATATATAATAATATATTATATCATATATAATTAAATAATAATATAATAAAACTGTATAGAAAAGAGCTAAGTCAGGTTTTCCAGCAGCTTTACATTTCTCCTTGTTCAGAAAGAAGAAAAGACCTGATTTTACTTCAAGTTCATCTGATTTTAGTCGTTAAAAGTCCAACTACATTTCTACAGTTGAGTCATGCTGCTTGGAACAAAATCTGATCTCAATGTAGGCCAAAAAAAAAAGATCCAGAAGATAAAAAGATCTTTAAATTTCACATTTTTGATTTTCATTTATATAAAGTATAAACGTTAATGAGGAAATGAAAACGGCCAGTAAATGAAGAGATTTTAGATTCACACCAAAAACCACTTTCTTGAAAAGCTGAATTTGTTTCAAAAGTTGAAAATCAAACTTTAGGACTTTGCAGAAACAGAAACGACGGGAACAAAGAGACGATTAAATCTGACGTTAAATCTAAAGAGGAAAACTTTCTTCTTCTTCGTATTCTGATGTTTTATCTGCCTTCTTCTTCTGCTTCCATCGTCTTTCCTTCAGTATTATCAGACAAGTTTCATGATGAAAGATAACGAAGAATAATGAAGCTGCTCTTGACATAATCCACGTTTCCTCTGTTTGTTTTTGATCTGTTTAAAAAGGGGATGTCCTGATCCTCTGTCTGCTGCAGAGCGAGTGTGACATTTTAAAATGTCAAAATAACTAAATATTTACACACTGTCCGAAACACAGAGGGACTTTTTATGTTCAATATATATATATATATATATATATATATATATATATATATATATATATATAAAACACAAGACTGGGGTGAATTTTCATGTGTTTTCATGTGATACGCTGCTTAAATGATAGACAGTATGGAAAATAAGGGAAAGGGCTTGAAAGTAAAATTTTGAAAGACAGAAAAAGATGGAGGGTTTATTACATATGATACTTACTGGTAATTGTTTTTTACTTGATTTAAAACCACAACGGTTACTCTCCTGCGGCTGACAGTAAAGAGAGATGATGAGAAAAAAAACAGAAGTTAAGATTTAAAAATCCCCAGACATTCATCTCAAACTTTCTCTGACACAAAAACACCAGATTGAGGTGAGGCCAAGAGAGCAAGAGGAGAAAATATTGTGAATCCAGTTCAGATAAGAGTTCCTGTCTGAAGTGAGTCACTTTCTCTGGAACAATCTGTCTTCGACGTCCTGCTCTGTGGACATTTAAAGACAGTTTTTCTGCAGGACTGAAGGTCATCAGGACAAAAAGAGTTAAAGCTGCTGCATTAGGTTTCCTGAACGAGTTCAAAGATGATCAATGATTTTCTCTAACAGTCTTTAAAGGAGCAGAGCTGAGGACGTGTTCACTTCTTAAAGTGAGAGTTCATATTCTCAACTGTAAACTCTCTGGATGGTTTGAGTAGGTGGAAATTATCAGGTTGATTAGCGGCTGATTCATTCAGTGAAAAGCTCATTTTTAAAGTATTTTCATTTAAAATGTCAAAAAGCTGAGATCAAGTCATCCAGGAAAACAAACGGAGCTAAAGTTTTTTAAATCACTCCCAAAGAAGATTTCAAAACCTCCCTGACGTCAAAAATTAAACTTCATATTCTCAGAAACGGTCCTGGAAACAGACTGAAATCCAACAAATGAAGAGAAGAGACTTTAAACAGGATGTAAAGGTTCAGAAAGTCATTCATCATTTTTACAGACAAAAGACAATCAAAGGAAAATTAGCTAAATGAGCGAAAAAGTCAAACTTAACGAGACTTTGTTTTGAATCTTTTGTTAGTCAGAAAATAAAAATGTACCTGAAGGATGTGGGAGAAAAAAATCAGATATTTCATGTGAAAATGAAACTCAAACATTGATGGTGAATTCCCCGACTGTTTACTCATTCCAGGAAACTGAAGAGAAGACAAAACTGAGAGTGTGTGAGTGTCTATATGTGTGTGTATGTAACTGTGTGTGTATATGTGTATCTGTGTACATGTGTATCTGTGTGTGTGTGTGTGTGTTGTGTGTGTGTTCCTGTCAGGCCTCTGAAAATCCCTCAGCCTGTTTTTTTTGACCGTCTGTTCTTTAAAGCGGGACACGAGGACTCGGCTGGTTTGTTGATTTTATTTTGAAGAATCACAGAAAACAAAGACGCTCGTTTAGATTCATGATCGACTCTTTTTAATGAAGCTGAAAACTGAAGAAGAAGAATCCGTGAGCTCGAGTGTCATGGTGCTTTTTATTCTCAATTATTGTCACTTTCCCTCTTTTTGGCACCAAAACACACACACAGTATATTTCACTCAAACTCAACCTCAGAGCATCAGGATAGACCGACTAATTCTTCATTTTGTGGTTTTTTTTTTGTTCACTTTGACTTTGAAATATGTTAAAATA